TCGACAAGCTGGCAGCCTCAGTCCATGAGGTAAGTCTGGCCTGTCCCCTTCGGGAAGCTGTGAGTGTGGAGAGCTGGCTTAGCCACAGAGTGAGACGCTGCCGCAGTGGGCTGCTTCAGGCTCTGCCCTCACTGGCCGTGGTTCCTGCTCTGCCCACAGCTTCGGCAGACTCAGGAGGAGGAACTGCAGAAGCTGACCCAGCTCCGGGACTCCCTCCGAGGGATGCTGCATCTGGAGAGTAGAGAGGTCAGGCCCTGAGTCATTCTAATGTCTAACCCACCCACCCCATCCTGGCATACGGGGAGGGGGGGAGGGAGAGAAGTTCCCAAATGTCCCCCCCCCCCCCCCCCGGAGCAGTGCAGCACGGGGCTCTTCCCTCCCAGACACCCTGAAGTCTCCTTTACATGTCTGGGGCAGGAGCACCCAAACCGGAAGAACTCAGGGGTCGGCTACAGCATCCACCAGCACCAAGGCAACAAGCAGTTCGGGACTGAGAAGGTGGGCTTCCTGTACAAGAAAAGTGATGGGTGAGTGATGCAGAGAGCTCAGGCAACTTGCCCAAAGACACACAACCAGGACATGAAGGTTAGAAAAGATACCCCAGTGACTATTGTCCTTATATTCCTGTGGGCCATTTTGTACAGTCTGATGGTGTACAGTTATCAAAGGAGAACTGGGCATGTGACTCTTTGCTAAAGGTTATTCTTCAAGAATTGCAGCAATAGCACCATCCACAGCATATGCCTTTAATCCCAGCATTTGGGAGGCTGAGGCAGGGGATATCCATGAGTTTGCTGTCTAGCAGCAGTTAAGACTTACCTTCATCCTTGCCCTCTATACAGTGCACTGTATATGCCTAGAAATGAAAGCATCAATTACACCTTGCTTCCTGGCATTAACTTTTCATTTTAGAAAGGGGCCAATGAGAGCCGGCTTTGGTGGCACACGCCTTTAATCCCAGCACTCGGGAGGCAGAGGTTGGTGGATCTCTATGAGTTCGAGGCCAGCCTGGTCTACAGAGTGAGTTCCAGGACAGCCTCCAAAACAATACAGAGAAACCCTGTCTTGAAAAACAAACAAACAAAAAAAAGGGGGGGCCAATGAGATGGCTTAGAGCAGTGGTTCTCAACCTGTGGGTCACGACCGCTTCAGGAAGTGGTTTTCAGCCTTCCTAATAGTGCTACCCCTTAATACAGTTCCTCATGTTGTGGTGACCCCAACCATAAAATTATTTTCATTGCTATTTCATAACTAATTTTGCTATTATTATGAGCTGTAGTGTAAATATCTGACATGCAGATGGTCTTAGGCTAATCCTGTGAAAGGTCATTCAACCCCCAAAGAGTTGCGACCTACAAGTTGAGAACTGCTGCCTTTCAGAGTCGTCTAAGACCATCAGAAAACACAGACATTTACATTACTATTCATAGTAGTAGCAAAAAATTACAGCTATGAGGTAGCAGTCAAAGTAATTTTATGGTTGGGGGTCACCACAACATGAAGAGCTATGTTAAAGGGTCACAGCATTAGGGAGGTTGGGAGCCACTGGCTTAGACGTAAGGGTACTTACTGTGATGCTTGACCACCCAAACTCAATGCCGGGAACCCATGTGGTAGAAAGAGAACTGACTGTATTAGTTACTTACCTGTTGCTGTGAAGAGACACGATGACCAAGGCAACGTATGGAAGAAAGAGTTTATAGGGCACTCACAGTGCCAGAGGGTGAGTCCATGGCCATCATGGCAAGGAGCATGGCAGCAGGCATCACATCTCACCAACAAGCACAAGGCACAAAAAACCATACAGGGAATGGCATGGTTTTTTGAGACCACACCCCCAGCGACACAACCATCTCCTCCAATAAGGCCACACCTCCCAATCCTTCCCAAACGGTTCCACTAACTGGGGACCAAGCATACAAACATGAGCCTATGTGGACTATTCTCATTCAAAGCACCACACTGACTCCCTCAGGTTATCCTCTGCCCCCACCCATTCGTGTACCTTGGCCTCACACACAAAATAAGTAAGGCCATGAGTTGTGTTTCCTCCATCAGGCTAGCTCTTGGGGTACCAGAGTCATACCGATCCTCTAGAAGAGGAATTCCAAAGCGTGAGGCCGTCCCCCCTCATGCTAGGAGCTTCTCGAAGGCCAAGTGTGGTGGTGACAGTGAGTGGGAAGGAAGAGGTCATCGATTCTGCTCTCCGATGCAGGGGAATTAGATGTGAGCCACTGGTCACTTTTTCTGTCCTTCTGGGCTTTAGGATTCGAAGAGTCTGGCAGAAGAGGAAGTGTGGAGTCAAGTATGGCTGCCTGACCATCTCGCACAGCATGGTGAGGCCCCTTAGGGGTTCTGAGCAGACAGCTGCCAAACCCTTAGGTCCAGCGTTAGAGATCCCTGCTTAGGATCCGCATCCCCTCTCCTGGAGGCACAGGACTTTCACGATTATTAAATAGAAAGGAGGCAAGGTATTCAGAGGCCCAGAGGGTAACATGTGTGTCCTGCACCCTCAAATTCCCACAGATCAACCGACCCCCGGTGAAGCTGACCCTGCTGACTTGCCAAGTGAGGCCCAACCCTGAGGAGAAAACATGCTTCGACCTGGTGACCCGTGAGTAGCCTACGCCAGCCCCACCCTGCCCAGGGCTCCTTCTGAGAGGCTGCAGCCAGGGATCGGCATCCAGTCCCACTAAATAGCCGAAGGCTACCACTGCTTTGGTGCCTGGCTTTAAGGGAGGTGAGGGCAGGCTGGGAAGGAGCTGCCCTTTCAGGCCAGGAATGTAGCTCACACTGCCTAGCACACATTGAACTCTGGGTTCTGTGCGGAGAACCACATAAAACTAGGCATGGTGGTGCATGCCCATAATCCCAGCATGGGAGATCAGAAGTTCAAGGTCACCCTCAGCTACATGGGGAGTTTAGGCTAGCCTGGGCTACATTTTTTTTTGTCTCATTTTTCTCTAAAGGCTCTAGTCTTCAGGGATCCCTCTTGGAAGGAATGAGGAAGAGACCCAGGACTCTTAAGATTGTGGGCGGGGTGTCCAGAGGAGAGAGGCACATGTAGAGACCCTTGGAAGACCTGACCTGCTGTAGGAAATTAAGGGCTGTTTGAGGAGAGCATTCACATTTAGCCTTGAGAGACCCAGAGACTGTAGCATTTAAGAGGGGAGGTCAGCAGGGCGGGAGGCTTGGAAGCAAAATGCAGACTTCCCCCATCGCTCTTACAAGGGACTTCCCACAGGAGCAGTGAGGCAAGGCCTGGAGCTGCCCCTCATAGGTCTAGACTTTGTTCCCCAATAGTCGGGACCCGTGGGGGTCTGGAGGCAGGGTGCCGTATGGTTAAAGTCGTAGATACATCAGTTTGGGATCTGGCAGGGCTAGGTGAAGAGGGAGAGGTAGGAAGGAAGGAAACTAGAGTGGGGTGGCAGCTGGAGGTAAGGGCCATGCTGTGCTTGAGCTGGATGGGGGGGTGTGCTATGGGCTGACCCTGGATCCAAGGCTCATACAGAGAGTCTGGCTGGGGTCTTGCTTTGGAGATGGCTTCTGCAGGAAGTGACACTTAGGAGGGCCCGATCTCAGGGTCACATAGGTGTTTGTCCTGGGGATGGCCTGCAGGATCTGTGTGCTTGATGCCCTTTTCTGTCACCCACAGACAACCGTACATACCACTTCCACGCAGAGGACGAGCTGGAGTGTGAGGCGTGAGTGTGGGCTTTGGGCCAGCAGTGGTGGGGGCAGGGAGCTCGGTCCACACCCGTCTCCCGTCCCCAATCCTCCTATCCCATCTGTACAGATGGGTATCTGTGCTGCAGAACAGCAAGGACGAAGCACTGAGTAGCGCCTTTAATGGGGAGCCCAGTGGCGGCCCGTGGTCTTGGGGTGGCACCAGGTTGGATGCAGAGCCCCAGGACCTCACCAAGATGCTCATTGCTGAGGTGAAGAGCAGGCCGGGGAATGGCCATTGTTGCGACTGCGGGGCTGCAGGTCAGTGGGGAAGGTTTGGTGGAGGTGTGGAGAAGGGGCTCCGGGCTGTAGGCTTTAGCTGTGCTCCTCTGCAGACCCCACGTGGCTCAGCACCAACCTGGGGGTGCTCACCTGCATCCAGTGCTCGGGTGTCCACCGCGAGCTGGGCGTGCGCTTCTCCCGAATACAGTCTCTCACCTTGGACCTCCTGAGTTCCTCAGAGCTGCTGGTGAGAGCAGGGTCAGGGGTCAGAGAGAATGTTAGGAGTGTGGGGCTGGGCTTGGGAGACCGAGCTTGGCTAACTGGGAATAGATCCAAAGTAACCAGAGTGGTGTTGGTAGGGGCGGCACCTGCGCAACTGTGGAGAAGGACTGGACTTTGAAGGGTGAACCCTTCCAGGGGCTCTGTCCTAACACCTGATTTTACTTGCTGACTCAACACTCACACTGTTCTATGTCTGCAGCTGGCTCTGAACATCGGAAACTCCCGCTTCAATGAAGTCATGGAGGCCCATCTGCCCTGTCACAGGAGCCCTAAGCCCTCTGCTGAGAGTGACATGTAAGGGCATGAGTGGACGTGCTGGCTCCCAGGGCCTGAGGGATCTGGGGTCAGAAGGCTGGGGAGAACAGAGCCCTCTGACCTGGAAGTTACCAGGACACCAGATCCTCCTAGAGGGTGGTTCCAGAAATTACTGTTGTCTATTGTCTTGGTAGGAGCAGCCGTAGGAACTACATTGTGGCCAAGTATGTGGAACACAGGTTTGCACGCCAGTCCACACCTGAGCCCCAGAAGCTGTGGACAGCTATCTGCAACAGGGACCTCCTGTCTGTACTGGAGGCCTTTGCCAATGGGCAGGACTTTGGACAGCTGCTGCCAGGGCCTGATGGGCAGGTGAGAGCCCCCTCCCAGGGCCACTTTTAGCTCATGAGCACGTGTATATTCATCAGATCCCCCCTCTAGCTGTCACAACTTTCTACCATCTGCTCAAATGTCACACATTAAATGGACAGAAAATAACTCCAGCCAAGCCGACCTAGCTGGGAATCCCGGCCGCATCTTTATTAGCTGTGTGACCCAAGGCTGTTGCTTCACTTCTCTGAGTCCTATTTCCTTGTCTATAGCATGGGCCAACAACAGCCTTGGAAAGTGGGAAAGGGCAGGTCCAATTAGAGTCGTGAAAGACGCTGTATTTTTGGTGGTATATATCTATGAGGAAGGGTTTCAGGATGATCTTAGAAGTGGCTGTGACTCATTGGGCATTTAAAAACCGGATGTTATGACCCTGGCTTAGTGGTTAAGAGCACTGGCTGCCCTTTCAGAGGACCTGGGTTCAATCCCCACGATTCACATGGCTGCTCACAACTGTCTGTAACTCCAGTTCCAGGAGATCTAGTACCCTCTTCTGGCCTTTGTGGGCACCGTATGCATGTGGTGCACAGTCATGCAGGCAAAATATTCATGCACGTGAAGTTGTAAAAAGAAATGAAGGTGATCTTTTAAAAACAAAACAGCTGGGTGTCCTCGGCTGTGGTGCAGCTCTGTGATGGAGCATAGTGAGCTTAGCCTGTGAGGCCCTGAGTTAGCCCCTAGCAGGAGTGGAGGTGGGGCAGGCCGTCCCTCAACTGCATGTCTGAAATCATCACAGGTGACAGTGAGGGCATAGTGCTTGAGTGAGGTGGGCAGCAGGACCACAGCTCCTGGGTAAGGTGGGCAGCAGGACCACAGCTCCTGGGTAAGGTGGGCAGCAGGACCACAGCTCCTGGGTAAGGTGGGCAGCAGGACCACAGCTCCTGGGTAAGGTGGGCAGCAGGACCACAGCTCCTGGGTAAGGTGGGCAGCAGGACCACAGCTCCTGGATAAGGTGGGCAGCAGGACCACAGCTCCTGGGTAAGGTGGGCAGCAGGACCACAGCTCCTGGGTAAGGTGGGCAGCAGGACCACAGCTCCTGGGTAAGGTGGGCAGCAGGACCACAGTTCCTGGATGAGGTGGGCAGCAGGACCACAGTTCCTGGGTAAGGTGGGCAGCATGGACACACTAAAAAGTAGGAGAAAAGGAGAGCCCCAGCCCGATAAAGATTTGGGGACACCTGCTCGAAAGGGCAAGGAGGAACCACTGAAGGACGCCATGAAGGGACAGCCTGGGCTTTCTCACGTTTCTTTAATGTGAGGGGGGTCTGTCCATACGGTCTCATCTCTGGGGTTGCTGACCACTTCATAAGCAGAGATGCTGGGGTAGCAAGGGTTCAAGAGGGCAGCTGTCGGGAAACTCAAGCATGTGTGTGTTCAGGCACCTGGAGAGCTCGCCCTGCACTTGGCCATCAGAGTCGCCAGCCAGGCTTCCCTGCCCCTAGTGGACTTCCTCATCCAGAATGGGTGAGAGCCTGTCTGCCATCAGCAACCTCCCTGTGCCCCCACGCCCTCCGGGTCCCTCCCTCTCCCCTGGGATTTTGACCCCCTTGCCTGCTCGTTTCCTTCCCTGAACCTCCCGCAACCCTCTCCTTGCAGTGGCCACTTGGATGCCAAGGCCGCCGATGGAAACACCGCGCTGCACTTGGCTGCTCTCCACGGCCAGCTGGACTGCCTCAAGCTGTTGCTGAAAGGGAGAGCTCCTGTGGGGACAGGTGCGGCCTGCGGCCTCCTCCAGACTCCCTTTCTGACTGCCCCATGTGGGGCCTCCTGCCCGTACAGACCCAAACACTGACAACAGGCACACTCTTCACAGGCATAGTCCTACTCCTGGCTTGTTTCTGAGCTCCTCAGTGGCTTCTCAGGGGTGGGGGCTGTCATTCATATCTAGAGCCTCAGCTTTCCCACCTGTAAAATGGGAGTCTCACAGAGCTAGTGAGCCTGCCAAAAGGTATGGATGGAGCAAACTAAATCCTATCTGAATCTGGGTACACTAGTGATGTAACTGTTACCCAGCTTACTGTGTAACATGTATCTGGTCCCGTGATCTGTACTGTTTATCAGTGAATCCTTACAGCCTGGTCAGATAGTTTCAAGTGTCATATTCATTTTACAGAGGAGACAGTTAAGACCCAGGGAGGTTGAGTAGGTCACCTAAGGCCACACAGCTAGGAAGTCAGAGAGTCAGTTTTCATACCCAGACAATCCAATTCCGAGGCCCATACTAACCTCTAAGCTGCCTTGACTTTGACTGTTGTCCCTGGGTTTATTACCCTCCACAGTAAATGATGCTGGGGAGACAGCTCTGGACATTGCCAGGAAGAAATGCCACAAGGAATGTGAAGAGCTGGTGAGTTCGAGGACAGAGGCCGCCCTCCAACCCTTCCTCACCCTATCGGCCCTCATACATGGCAAGCCTTTGCTTTTGGCAGCTGGAGCAGGCACAAGCAGGGACCCTCACCTTTCCTCTCCACATGGACTACCCGTGGGGGCACTCCATGGAGCATGGCTTTGACAGTGAGGAGGATGAGGATGAGAAGGTAGGCCCAGCCCTTCCCCTCTGGATGGCACCAGACAAGAGCCATATTGGGCCTGCTGTGGGAAGGGGCAGGTTGAACTGTGGAAACCAAGATGGCCTTGTCCCCACAGCACTGTCCCGTGAAGCCCCCAGCTAAGGCCTGTTGGAGCAGTGGGAGGCTGGACATCAGCAACAAGACATATGAGACCATTGCTAGCCCAGGACCAGCCACCTCTCAGAGCCAGAATGAGAACAGTCCCCCACCCCTGCCCGTCAAAAACTCTTCTAGGACCATACTTCCAGGGCGAGCAGGACATTCCAGTGGAGGTATAGTTGGCTACCCGGAAGTATTATGATCATGCCATTTATTGAGGGACTCCTCGCTGTGTGGGGCACTGAGCTGCGAGTGCACGCCAGAGCTGAGTGTGCTGTCACATGCCTGCAATCCCAGATAGAGGCAGGAAGATCAGGAGTTCAAGACCACACTAGCCTGGATGCTGAGGTGAAGACCAGCCTGGGCTCCTTGAGACCCTGTGAAAACAGCAAGGAAGAGTGATGGCGGCAAGCCCATCCTGCCGTCAGAGTTCCCTTAGGGTTACCATCCTCTCCTTCAGGCAAAGGGAGAGAGAAACATTTCTACTTTCTTTTTTTATTAGATTTATTTATTTGTGTCTATTAGTGCTCTATTTGCACATATGCCTGCATGGCAGAAGAGACCATCAGACAGAAGAGGGCACTAGATCCCATTATAGATGGTTAAGAGCTACCATGTAGGTGCTGGGAATTGAACCCAGGTCCTCTAGAAGAGCAGCCAGTGCTCTTAACCATTGAGCTACTTCTCCAGCCCCACATTCCTACTTTCTTATCACAGGGAGCAATTAAAAAACAAACATCACGGGCTGGAGAGATGACTCAGAGGTTAAGAACACTGGCTGCTCTTCCAGAGGTCCTGAGTTCAATTACCAGCAACAACATCGTGGCTCACAACCATCTATAATGAGATCTGGTGCCCTCTTCTGGCATGGTGGAACACTGTACTTATAATAAATAATAAATAAATAAATAAATAAATAAATAAATCTTAAAGAAAAAAACCCACATCACTTTGTGGTTCTAGATTGCTCTGACACTCCCAGTCTGAGATCAGAGTCTCCTGAAGCCTCAGAGAACCCAAGCAGTCCAGCATCTTCCTCATCCAGCCTCACCAGCTTTGTGGAAGCTGGGGGGGCTGAGCCAAGCCCCGTCTAGCCCTGAAGAAGGCCTCCAGGAGCTACCAGGCACCTCCCGACCTGGGCCAGCACCTGGGACCACCCCAATTGAGGTGTATCACCCAGTCAAGTTCAGGTTGGTAAGGGCTGGCCATGCTGCCCAATGTGCCTCCTGACCTCTCTGGGCATGTGCTGGCTTCTCTACCTTTGAACAGTACCTGTCTGAAGCCTGGGTCATAGTCTTCTCACTCTAGGACTCCAGTTGTAGGCTGGACCTGGATGAAGGGTGGCTTACCTTTTCCTCTTCTTATCACTTGCTGTCAGGTCTGCCAGGAGAGCCAAGGAGGAGACTGGGGCTTGGGTTGCTGAAGTTGGTGGGAGGAGAAAAAGCTTAGCCCCTCCTGCATGGGTCCTTCTTAAACCCTCATGAAATCTTCACCTGTCAATCCAACTGTCTCTCTTCTCTGCAAACCTTTTTTGTCTAGACTTGAGTTTGGGGAGAAGTGGACTTGGGCACATCCTCAGAGCCCAGACATCCAGGGCCTGTGATGACCCAGCCTAGGAGTCTGGTGGACTCTGGTTCCCCCTCTAACACTACCCCAGCCTTGTTTGTCTATCTGAGTCCCTCTGAGGGGCTCTGGGCAGCAGGGTGACATTGGCCATCCCTGCCTTCCAGCTCGGAGAGCACTCGATCCTACAGACGGGGAGGTCGGAGTCTGGAAGACAGTCCCTGTGCCCGGCAGCCCCTGTCTAGAAGGAACATTCTGGTAGGAGCCCTGGGAGTGTGGTTGGAAGTGTAGGTATCTGGGTTGTAGAGCTGGTCAAGAGCAGGCATAGAGGGGAGGGAGACCTCTCGCCATGGTGGCGACACTATGAACGGAGATGGCCACTGTAAAGCCTGGTGCCCCCCTCCCCCCCCCGCTCTAGCCCAGAACTGTGTAGAGCTGAGTGAAGCCCAGCTAGAGCCATTTCCCAGAGAAGATGCAAGAGGAGCTTTAAAAGTGTCAGCTTCGTCCTTCTTTCCTCAGGTCTGCCTCACGGAAGGAGATGGCTCAAAGACCGGGGTTCAACCGGCAAGTTCTCTGCAGCTTTTGCATGACTAGCTCCTTGCTGACCCCTCATGGCCCACATTGGACCCCGACATTCAGAGCTGGGGACTTGAGCCCACAGAACTGGGAGCTCACCTTCCCTGGACCGTGTCCCTGCCAAGGACACTGGCCCTTCTTTGTTGGGGCTGATGTCCTGGACCAGGCAGTCCTGAAGTTAGATCTGAGCTGCCTGAGCTGGGTTCCGTTACACAGCCCTCAATCCTCACCAGGCCAGGACTGTTCTCCTTACAAGGGTGGAACCCGCTCACCATCAATTAGGTCCAGGCACTATCTTAGGGGCTATTTATCAGTCTGGTATTTTCCTTTAATGAATTCCAGCTTTACGTCCAGACCTTTGCTAGGCACTGTGGCTGCCACATGAATAAGGCAAGCATCCCACAGGTGTGGCCCCTTGCTGGAAAGCTGCTCTCAAGAACTGACTTGGAAGGAACAGAGCCAGGCTGCAGAGGACGGACACCCCTGGTCTGATCATTACAGTTGTTACAGCCTGTGCTGCACAGGCAAAGTAGTCCAAATGCCTCCCTTAGAGGGGCAGCCTTGACACCCCCCCTCCCCGAGACTGTACTGTGTTCCTCAGCCAGGAAGTAGAACCGGAAGTAGAGTACGACTCACCTGTCTAGCTGCCTCCTCGATTCAGCAGGACAGAAAGGAATGGTCTGGGTTGACTGATCCTACTTCTCTCACTTTTCTCTCGATCAAACCAGAAGCCTTCCAGTCTAGGGAAAGTGAGGGACCAAGAAAGAAAAAAGGAGTTGGGAAGATAAGAGAAGCTTCAAGAGTCTGCTTCCCAGGAACAGAAATCCCACCATTGCTCAGCCACAATTACAAAGCCAATGCTATCAGCAACCATGGACAGCTCTGTTTTATAGCCTCTTGGTGCTAGGTCCTACAGGGGTGGACCAAGCCAAATGCGGGCGACCAGAGTTCACCCAGTGAATGGCTAGGAGTTGAACTGTTCACCCTGGAGGCTGGGATGGTCCTTGATCCTAAAGAAGCAGAATTGCTTCTGAGCCCCCAGGGTGATCAGCTTTTGTTCATCTCAGACTTACTCTTTTATTCATCTCTAGTAAAGGATTCTTGGGGGGAGGGATGGATCCTCCTGGTTCATCTATGGGTTCTAAAGAGTAATAGGAAAAAGGACTTCTGGGACTTGGGATTCTTTCCCTGGCCCTGGTGAGGGACAGGGCTGGTAAAGAGTAGTGGTCACAGTACAGGCAGGGAGTTTTGCTCCAGGAGACATGTGTATGGCAGATGTTTCCAACCAGAGGGTGCATCCCGGAGCGTCCTCCAGCACAGTGTCTTTTGTCCGTTTTGAGTTGCTGTAGTAGAATGCTGGAGTCTGGGCACTTTGTACAGCAAAAGGTTTTATTTGGCTTAGGATTCTGGAGATTACAAAGTCCAAACAGCATGTCATGAACACCCTGTAAAAGGCTCCCTGACTGTCACAACATTGCAGAGAAGTGGAAAGTTCACACCTATGTGTGGAGATCTGTTTGCTTTATAAGAACCCACTCTTCTGAGATTCAAGCTTCAACCCCTTCCAAGGCAGTACCACCATTACCTCCCCCTAGGCTCCACCCCTTAAAGGCTCGGTCACCACTCAACATTGCCACATCAGGAATCAAGGCCCTGGCATGTAAGAAAACACACTCAAACCACATCCACCTGCATGGTAATGGTCCGTTCTATGGTAATCAGTTAGCCAGTCCAAAATGTTGTCGGCACTAAGTCTGAGAAGCCCTGCAGGAAAGCACACTGGACTGGAGTATGTGAGGACTTCATGTTTGGACAATCCCAGGGTCCCGTGATTGCCCTGAGGTGATGACTTGGGCAAAGTAGTTTGTGAGGTGACTCCTGGAAGCATAATGGGCAGAGAAGTGAAACAAGGTCAGCAAACAATAAAGGAGGGCAAGGAGAAGGTTGCTGAGAATGTGCTTGCCACACAAGCATGAAGATGTGAGTTCGAATCCCCAGAACTCAGGTAAAAAGGCAGGCAGGCAGTGCACTCCCATACCCCTGACTCTGTGGAAGCGGATACTAGGGGATCCCCGGGGCTTGCTGCCCGCTCCAAGTTCAGTGAGAGACCCTGTCTCAAGTAGTAGCATGGCCAGCAATCGAGAAAAGCGCTCATCAGTCTCTGCTCAGCACAGGTACCAAACACATCCACACAGGAGCATAAAGGATGCCAGCACAGTGGCACCCAGCTGTAATTTCAGCCTTCCGGGGCGGAGGCAGGAGCATAGTGAGTTAGGAAATGCATCCCATCTGTCCCTTGGAGAGTAAAGGATGGAGTGTTTACCACCAATGCTGGGTCTCTCTGGAGTGTCAGTTCCGTTCCTGCACCCAAAGCTCACAGGGAGGCATGCTGAGTGGCAGCTGCGTGCCATGATTGTGTGCAGGTGACCTCTCAGGTGGGCAGAGGGGGTATAAGGATGCTGACTGCATTCTGGGAGAGTATCAGTGATGGGGACCTCCTGAGATTCATTTGCATAATAAGGTTGGACATGTATTCTTAGGGTTCTTCATACTAAGGCCAACAGCCCTCCCAAAAGCTCCAGTCACGAAAAACCTGGAGCTGGGCGTTGGTGGCTCATGCCTTTAATCCCAGCACTCGGGAGGCAGAGGCAGGTGGATCTCTGTGAGTTCGAGGCCAGCCTGGTCTACAGAGCGAGTTCCAGGACAGCCTCCAAAACAATACAAAGAAACCCTGTCTCAAAAAACCAAAAAAAAAAAAAAAAAAAACCAAAAAAAAAAAAGAAAGAAAGAAAGAAAGAAAAAGCTGGCTTTGGCAACTAGGCACTAAGCCCCACCCCTTTCCTCCACATCCCTGTGCTGCAGTCACTCACTTTTCGGTTCCTCCACTGCCCACATGCCAAGGACACACTGAGTTCTCCAGGAGGGCTCCCTTCTGGATGCTAGAACTACCTGGAACATAATAGGTGCTCAGTAAATAGAATAAACTCGTGCTGCCTTCTCGATTACACAGATCCCTTCTTCCCCCACCGAACTCCTGCCCCGCCCTTCGCTGCAATAAAGTTCACTTCTTGAGAGGGGATGGCCCCCAGCTGGACCTTTCAAATGCCCTCTCCCTCTCCCCCCATCTCCCCCTCCCCCTCTCCCTCTCCTCCCTCTCCCTCCCCACTCCCACTCCCCCTCTCCCTTCCCCTCTCCCTCCCCCTCTCTCCCTCTCCTCCCTCTCTCCCTCTCCTTCTCTCCCTCTCCCTCTCCTTCTCTCCCTCTCCTTCTCTCCCTCTCCCTCCCCCTCCCCTCCCCCTCTCCCCCTCCCTCTCTTGCCCCACCCCAGCTGTGATGAATACAGTCCTCCTCTTTTGCCCAGTCTGCTGCAGTGAGGTCTTTTCTTGCTAGTTAATCGGGAAACGTTTGTTGAAGGGGAAAAAAAATCCTTGACGGTCGTCACACACCAACAGTTGGGAGACAGATGTCCACAACTGTCTACTTCTGGCCTAGAACTGGTTTTCTGGGGTTATCTCAGAAAGTTAAGGGATTTCACAGTTCCCCGACCTCCAACCCCCCCCACACACACCGTGGGCCCTCTTCTGCCCTCCATCCAGGAAGGTAGTTTTCTGCTGGGAGGGGAACTAGGTCTGCAGAGGATTCTTGTGAAACCCTTCTACTCCAGAGCAGAGTGTGCACAGCTGACTGGGGGGACGGCTATTCCTTCCACCCCAAATTACTCTTCCAAGCCCACCCCTTGCTTTGGTGCATGGCTGCACCCCAGTACTTGAGAGCTTGTTAGAAACACAATAAAGTAGGCTGCGGAGTCGGGCAAACGATCCCTGAGCATACCTCCCGTGAAAGACCACAGGCCTTGGGCACACGAAGGAGAGCCTAAGTTAGGAGAGAGCTAACTTCAGGGTCTGCACCAAGAGGCGACGAATGCACCAACTTTTCTCGGCTTGGGCACAGCCACGGAGCTCGACGACGCTAAGACCTGGCAGCTCAGAACTTCCCGCAGCTGCACTGACATCCCAGGCGAACTTCGTGCCCAAATGTCCCTGCAGCCCAAGGCACCCCTAAGAGGGTCGGAGGGGAAGAACCCCTTCTCCCAGTCTGGTCCTTCCCCCAAAGGTGCGACCCGCCTGGCTCAGGCAATCTTTGTCCGGGCAGTCCTTGAAGTCTATATTTAGTGCCCGCCACCCCTCCCCCAGCGCTGGGAGGGGCGTGCCCCGCCCCCGCCGGGCTTGAGTGTCTGTTGTGTTTGCGGCCGGTGCCGCTAGCGCTCTGCGCTTTGGAGCCCGCTGGAGCTCTGCGCCCCTAACCCCGCGGGGCGTCGTGGACCAACATGGGCCGGGAAGAGGAGCTACTGAGGATCGCCAAAAAGCTGGAGAAGATGGTGGCCCGGAAGAAGACGGTGAGGCCGCAAAGTTTGCAACGCAGCCCCCGGGCCACGGAGGCGCGACTCCGCCAGCCACGGGCTTGGTGGGCGTGCCGGCGGTGTACCCGAAGGGAGCGCTCGGGAAGTGGGCGGCCGGAGGCTGCCGGGCAGGAGAGTCCCCGCGCTACTTGCTGGGCACTTAGAGTGGGCGTGTGTGTGTGTGTGTGTGTGTGTGTGTGTGTGTGTGTGTGTGCGTGCGTGCGTGGCCAGGTCTAGAGAGGATCGTGCAGGCCCCCACGAAGCGTGGCTGGTGCAAATCAGTGTGGACAGGTCGGTTGCACTCGTGGACTGGCTGCGCTGAACGGAGAAAGGGCGAGGAGAGACACGAACCTGGAGCGAGGACTTTGGGAGTCCCAGGACTCCGGGTGTGCTCAAGGCCGGGAGCTGGAGGGATAAATTCTGAGTGATTCGAAAAAGATCAGAGAAACTTGGGTTGAGAAAGGGGAGCCGAGCCGCATTTGCACCCCCGGGAAGTGGGCCTGGGAGACTCCAGCGAAGCGCCTTAGCCGGGGTGCCAGGAGTCTGTTTGCAACTTTTTCCTTGGCCGAGGGATGGGTCCCTGGCGGGCGGGGGTGAACAGGTGCGGGGCAAGGGGGAGAGGATGAGGCCTGGGCTGCCCCAGCGGGGGAGGTGCTTGAAGGGGAACTGTGCGGGGAGGAGGGTCCGCAGCCCTGCTTGAGGGTCGCTGATCTCTTAGTCCCAGCAGCACACATCGAGAGCCAGGCGGAAAGTTAATGTTTGATCTCTCTAGCGATCTTTGCCTCAGGCTGGTGGCTGGCACCTGTGCCAATTCTGGAGGGCGTGGACTGAAAGGGAGAAGACAAGGGACCGGGTGGGTAAGGCCCTCCACGTTGACTTGACGAGGGGTCCTTCTCGTATTGTCTGGCAATGTGTTACACCAGGACTTGCATTGCCAGTACATTCCAGGAAAGTTGAAAAATGCTGTGGTCTGAAGAGAGGTTTCCGGAAGAGTGACTGAGACCTGAGGAGCCAAGGAGTGTTAGGCATCCTGGAATAGTTGCAGGGCAACAATGAAATGATGGTGTTGGTATAATAAGAGCTACCGTTTCCTCGCCTATAAGATGACTGAACGCCCAGGGGAAGAGCATCTTTGGGGGCAGTAGAGAGGGTTGACCAGTGAGACAGAAGTGCAAAGCTAAGTCTGAGGCAGGTGACTGGGGTGAGCAAGGCTTGCTTCTGCATTCTTGGAGGAGATGCAGAAAGATGCCTCTCACTCTCACCTACCGAGGTTGCAGAGCCCAGTCTCAGATCCCAGCCTCCACTGAGTTGCTCTGGGCTTCTCCCAAAGTTGCCAGCAAAACCTAACCTCAAGTTACAGGACACTTCCCTGGCT